AAAAAAAAAAAAAAAAGCAGACCTCTGGTTCCCTGTTTCAGCCCTGAACCTGCCTACCCCTCCCATCCACGCTTGTCAAAAATGACAAGTGGCCACATTTTCCCAGTGGGAGTAGAGGCTGAGGGGCAACGTTGCTGTGAGACCAGATCTAAGGGACTGAGGTGCTGACTGAAAGACAAGATCACCCGATTGCTGATCTGGCAGGCCTGGGTGTTGGCTTGTCACCCACCTTCTTAAAGGCCCTTCTAGACAATCTTATCTAAGTAGGTCAATCTCCCTTCACCTTGTTATATTTACTTCGTGCCCTTCTCACAGTTTGTAATTCGTGGTTTGTTTACTTGTTTAATGTCTTTTTTTGCTACGTAGCCTGTGAGTTTTTAAAAGCAGAGACTTTGTCAGTTTGCTTACTCCTGGATCCCAAGTACCCTACACATTTTCTGTTGATTATTAGATACTCTGTAAATGTTTGTTAGTAGGAAGACAGGAAGGGAGAAAGGGGAGAAAAGAGAGAGAGAAATGTTCTTCAACTCATCATTTTTTATACCAACCTTGGGGGGAAAACATGAGTCATCCATTGAAATCTTACTTTCAGTTTTCCCCCATTCCAATTTTTTAGTATCTTAGGTATATTTCTAACAATTCAACAGTGGGAGTATTGAACCTACACCCATGCATTTGAGCAACTAAAAACGGTCACCTTATGCAGTGGCTCTTAAACTTTATTGTTAGGCAGTGAGAACTTTTCTTTCAAATGAATTCCATATGAAATGCCAACATATAAAAGAGATGAAACCAGAATTGGTCTGGCTAAAGGGGGCAGTTAGGGACCTAGAACCCTGCCCTGGGGCTCCAATGAATCAGCTAAAAACCCTGATGCAGTCCACCGACCTCTGTTTGACCTTGTGGAAGGTCGAGTGCCCACTCAGAGCCCCAGCTAGGATTAGGACCCAGGCTTCTTCCACATCCATGCCTTTCTGCAGAACCTGTGAAGGTGGTTTTGGGGGCTGGCTTACAGGGAAGGGCGATCTTCCGTCTTCAGATGTCTAGTATGAAAGTCATAACAGCTAATATTTATTTCACCTTCCTGTGACCCACACCTGCCAGTGCCTTTTAATTCACATAATAGCCTACTGAGGTGTAGCTACTGTCATTGCCCATCTTTTACACAAGGACACTGGGGTTTAGAGCCAGGAAGTGATGTGCTGACCCCCCACAGCTCCATCACAAGTGGAGAAGCTGAGATGTATCTGTAGAGCTAGAGAGCTAGAGGCATAACTGTAGATGAACAGCAGAGAACGATGGCCTAACACATGGCCCTAGGAAACGTTGCCACACAAAAGTAAGTGCGTGTTTTAACCTTAAAAACAAAAGAGCAAGTGTTTTACCAGCAAAATGAGTTTATTTAGAAATAGCAGAGGCATGGCAATTCAGGACACGCAAGCTATGGTGAAGCATAGCCAAGCCTGGAGAACAAAGGAGAGGAACCATACTTGGTAGAGAAAAGGGAGGGAGTTGGGAGAGGCTGCTTTGAAGGAAAGTCTTTGCGAGTCTAAAAGTCTAAAGCAAGGGTTCAGGGTAGCAATGGTTTCTCTTTGGCTAGACTCTTGCTCGTCAAGGAGAAAATCTTTCTTCCTTCTGCTGGGGCAGTAAAGTGAACTTCTTTCTGCCCAGGCATGCGGTGTCAGCTGCCATAGAAAGCTTTTGATGAGCATCTCCCCTTCTGGGCTTCCTGACTCCGTTTCAGGTGAGGTCTCCCTGCACTGATTTCCACGCATGCCTTATATTTGGCCTCCGAGTCTCTCCTTTATTCGGTACAAGTTTGTGTCACACCCGCAGTTTCTGCTCAGATAGAACACCTCAAGTGCATAAATGCCACCTTAAAGTACACAGCCCGTCTGCCAGCAGAGCCAGCCAGCAGGCAGGAACAGCATCGCATTCCGCACCAGTCGACTGGAGGGAGAGATGGGCAGCTCTCCATACTTCCTCCCAGGCCGAGGCACACTTGCTGAATGTCAATTACCATGGCACTCGAGCCCTTAACACTTAACCAAAAATGTGTTTTCCTGGAGTGCGTGTGAAATGTAAAAATGGGAAGTTACGATTTCAGAACTTACTCAAGAGAACTACCAAACTGACCTTTGGAAAATAAAGCAGACTTTGCTCGAAGAATAGTTGTCAATTTGTTTTTGACATTTGTTCCTTTACAGATATGACCCTTAAATTATTCATGCTTACCAGCTCCAAAACAGAATAGTAATGACCTCTCTCGTCAGGCTTGCAAAACCTCTTCTGCCGTTTACATAGATTTTGAGTAAGAAAGACATTCAGAAGTGCTTTTCGAGTTGCCGGAGTCTCATAAAAATAACATTCTTGTGCCTTTTTTATGGCAAGGCCACATAGGATATTCCTTTATGAACACTGGTTAATCCCCCATGAGACATAAATAGGCAACAGATGCTCATTTTATAGGTATAATATCCAAATCACTAGTCAAGAATTTAGAAAACCCTCATGGTTCCCTGAAGCTAACCAGAGAGAGGGGAATCTGGCCGCCTGCTCGGGGTGCAACAAGGGAGTCTTTCCAGAATCTTATTTCCTGAAGCACAATTATTCGACATTCACCTAATACTCCAAGTCTAAAAGCAGTCTTCTAATATCTGTTTTATTAGTGATCATACAGACATTATGCTTCATGGAACAACCATTGGTATCCCCA